AGATCGATGGAGGGTGGCCAGATCTGAGCAGTGAGCTGCTCTCGCTTCCCCTCCACCTCTAGATCCGGTGGACGTGCGCGCCTCGATCTGCAAGCAGAGGCTGGATCTCGGCGTCCTTGATCCCAGAGTGCAAGGCCGGATCCTGATTGGGGGCGTCTCAATCCGGCAAAGGGAGGTTGGATCTCGGTGGTGCTAAGGACGAGAGAAAGACAAGAAAAAATGTGCAAACGGTGCAGGACATAAGCTCTCGGTAGATGATACCAGACACCGTCTTATCCCGAGTAGATTGGGCACAACGTCCTAACTACCAACAAAAAGCCTATTCCTCAAACTGGAAGCCGCCAAGGCCAAGGCTCAACATGTCAATAGCGGCACTATGTACTATCAAACTCAGGCCACCTCGATTCAGTACTAGCCACCTCAATCGAGGCCATACGCCTCTAAAACTCAGTGAGTTGAGTACTCAGAACGGTCGAGGAATAACCCCCCCATTTAGTAGGGCAACACCACATAACCCCCTGGCCCTTAGCACGACAGACAATGGAAGGTAAGAGTACAAAAGCTATGGCATAGATTTACTAAATTTCTTCTATTTCCCCTATTTTTATAGGCAGGGGACGCGCATGGCCAATGGAATTCCAAAAGTCTCTCCGAGCGGTGTCGTTTGTTAAGGCTAGGCCATGTCCCCATGACCTCCGTGGGGACGCCTTATAACACCTCGGTGTTAGTCACAAGTTAATCAAAGGATTTGGACTTAAGTAGGATATATCAAGCAATGATCATGATCTCTAGTTCATAATTTTGAAGTGATGATGAAGGTGTTGTGGTCTAATCTATGAAATTCAGTCCCAACTTGAACTTGGACAACACACCTTTGCTTACATGTGGACTCTTTTTAAAATTTCACAAGAGTAATGTTAAACATTCTTGTTTCATGTACATTATATCAACATGCATCCATCTTGACCAGTGGAAAAGTTTCATGAAGTTTGGAATCAAGAAGTCACATGAAATGATAAGTTATAATCTTTCTTGAATTGCTTCATCAGGTGAATGGGAACATGGGATGTCGACCAAACCTTGCTACCTTACCTAAATGACTCTAATTTAACTCTACAACAAAAGTTATGTAGGGTTCGTGTTGAGCAAATATTAAGAAAATGCCTCAATTAGTCAAAAACCCTAATTCTAGGGTTTAACGAGGTGCTGCTTTGACCAAGATGAAGCAATGGTTTCTGTACTAGATATGAAGTTTGACCTTCAATAAAAGTTGAAGTTTGAGTGGAGTACAACAAACTTTATTTTTGGAACAAGGCCTTATTCAACTCCTAAGTGGCTCAAACAGAGGACTCAAGATGGAATCAGCTGCTATTTATGGGCTCTAAATAATTCTAAGTCCGGAATTCATCGTCATTGACATTGGCATTTTGCGTTCTTGGATTTTTGTTAAGCAACTCAAGTTGAGCCAAATATAAAAGTTGGACTTTACATCTTGGTAAGGACATACAAAAAGTTAGAATCAATTTGACCAAGTTTTGACCAAGTAATTCGAGCTCAAGCAGAGCAAGGCTTAATCCTCGATTAGTCGCTGACACTATCAACTTCGGGCTTAATTAGGCGCTAATGGAGAGCTCTAATGGCCAGGCTTCCTTAATGACTTTTGTAGACCATCAGGTGGGCTTCAACTTTGCATTTGGGCCCAAGTTCCAATTCGGCCCGTAACTGGCCCAAAATCGGCTCCCACCTTGCCCCGACCGCCGCCGCCGCCACTGTCCGAGGAAATGTTGACACGTCCTCCATGCGCCGCCGCACATGCCTTCACCATTGTCGCGCTTGCCGCCGCGATGAGCTCGCCTCCTCGCTGCACCTCTGCAAAGCTCCAAAGAGGACGCTGAGCTTCCCCCTCTCCCTCACTCGCTCGCCCTCGCCTCAGCTCACTCCCTTCCTCGCTCTGCACCAGAGCGCGGACGCGCTAGCCATGACCGCCGTTGCCGGCCGAGCAGAGCTGTGGCCATCATCGCTGCACCCTTCCCTATCCTCCAACTACCCGCCACTCATGAAGCACCACCGCCGCAACTCGCTCCACCACCATCTCCTCGCTCCAGGCTGGTGGCTCGCCCAAAGACTGGTTGCCGGGCCGCTTTCGCCTCCCCGCCGCCATGGCTCTCCTCGGCCGCCACGGCCAAAGCACTCCGAGCCTTCTCCGCCCCTTAGCTGCGCACCACCACCGCCCGCCTCCTTCTCCTCTCCGATCCGATGTCCTCGGCCGAAAGGGAGATCACCGGGCCAACCCAATCGGAGCTGCCTCTGTCGCCACCACCGGCATGTGGCTGTGCCTCTACGAGCCACCTCTCGCCGCCCCTCGGCCACCCATGGGCGCGCAAGGCCCTATTGCACTCCAAAGACTTGTCGAGCCTTCCTCCGCTGGCGTCCGCCAGCTAGCTAAAGTCACGGAGGCAAACCCATCGCCGCCACTTTGCTTCCATGGCCAGCAGGCCACGAGCTGCCTTGGGCCGTCTTCAGCCGGGCTGAGTAGCCTTACGGGTGTGCACGGTCCCTGGGATGCACCACCGCCACTCCTCGGCCGTCGGCATGGCTTCCTTCGGCCGGAACCACGAGCTCAAGCCGCCTCCTCTATTCTGATCCGCATGAAGGACCTCGTGCAAGGATTCGACGAAAGGGAAGGACCTAACTGTGAACCATAGACTCATATGAATAGTGCCTATAGGGACCTGTTCGCTGGAATCGGCATTTGAAGAAAGTTCGGGGTCCTCGGTGCAAATCTATTTTTCTTTTATGGATGAAACTTTGGAAAATCATAATAAATTGTAGAAAATCGTAAAATAGTAGTGATATTCTTCTTCTTTTTCTCCTCGCGAGTCCCGAGCAACGACGGAGAAAGAAGCTGCTAGCTCAAGTTGAAGCAATAATAGCATCCAACGACTGGAATGGCCGGTGTCGCGGCGACAAAGCGTGTAAAGCGCCGAGGCCATGGCGCTCAAGGAGGAGAACCGCTGTGGTGGAGACACGTGCGGAGGCGCTTAGCGCCGCACCTCGGGGCCGAGGGCGCCCCTGCTGACGCCAAGCCGGGCGGCTTCAACGGCTTCATGACGTGTTGTGCGCCACCGGATGCTCACCTCCTTCTCGCCACGCCCCTCTCGGGGCGTGTTTCCACTATCGCCCACCCTTTAACGCGGGCGCCGGGACCGTGCGGTACCCATTGGTTGTTGTCGTTGCGCGGCGCCTCAGTAGGGAAGATGGCATATGGGCGAAGGCCGGGTGTCTGTGGGTCACGCCGGGCCAGCGCGCGGCGGCGCGTTAGGGTGATGATGCATGAGTTTCACGCCGCACACGGGTGGCGGTGGAGGAGGCCAGACGCCGCCGAAGCCTTGGCGGCGACATGGCGGCAAAATGCATACGGAGGTGGGATCTGGCAGGCGCACTTCTAGGCACCTGCGAGACATGCTTGCACTCATCGACGACCTATTCGACGAGGTGGTGGAGGCCAGGAAGAAGCTCGCTGACCTCCTGCTTGGGTCGCCCCCGCCTGTGGCATCTCACCACGCGCCTGCCCCCACGAGATGAGTGGAGGCCAGCCGCTGGCCTTGGGAGGGGAGCAACGCCAGCGAGGGAGCCGCGCGAGGAGAAGGCTTGGCCTGGCCATTGCTGGAGGAGAAGAGAGTCGGGGAGTCGCCAGTGAGGATAGAGAGGGACGGGTTGAGTCGATGACGCCATGGGCCCCACATGTCAGAGATGGACAAAACCGCTTCACGCTTGGACAAAACAGCCTCACTGCCATACACATGTACTAAAAGTAAACGGTTTTGATAGTTGGGGTACTAGCATTAGATGGTTTGTAGTTGAGGGTCAAAATTAGACCCAGAACCAAATAGTTGAGGGGCCAAAATAGACTTAATCATTTGAAATATTATGAATTAAAAAAGCTTGTAATACTACTTAATTATTTGCCATGTGTTCCTAAAACAATATGCAATAATGTCTCTAATTTTCTTCATAATTTAACAATTCTATCTATAAACAAAACTGCAATACATCTAGCACGTACTTCTAAAAATTAAATTAACAATAAGTGTAACTTCATGCGGGATACATGATCTGATCTCGAAGTCGATGGGCTGCAGCACAATATATATAGAAACTATATACACACGCATATCAAATTACAAATTACAGATATCATATCAGAGCATGTTGATTGAAATATGATTTGTTTCCTTTCCGTCAGTCGTCGGATCTCCTGTTCACTTGGTTGCTTCGATTCTGGTGTCGACGTCTCCGCGTACAGAGCTCCAAGCGTCGTCGTCTCGTCGGGCCATCAAGGATGCCACTTCTTCGTGTTCGTGGATAGCGCCTTGTAAACGCGGCCGCCGCATACGCCATTTTCCATCCAGATTATATTACGTCGCCGAAGCTCTTCCATTTGTCTCTCATCAGTCATCACGCGGCGACGGCGTCGTCCGCCTTGTCCTGCACGGCGGAAAACGCAGCTGACCTCGTTCGCCTTCGGACGCCGGCCGGCCTCGCTCTCGACCGCTAGGCGGCCGGCCGGCCGTTGCTACGCCAACGGCCAAAGTGCTGATGCCTACGTCCAACGCGAAAGCATCATATATGTCGTAACTTATCCAACGCGCATACTGGACGTGGCGAGCTCTAGCTGGCCCGGCCATCGCGTCGCGCGGCCATGTCGTCGTCGAAGCGGTGGACGTCCATCTCCGGCACGGAGCTGCCGGGCCGGTCGTCGCTCCTCCCGCCTCCGCGCTCTCGCCAGTCCGCCAGAGTGCCCGGCGCTCAGTCTCCGATCGGAACCCGCCACGATAACATCCCCGTCGCCGTCTCGATCGCTCGCTCGCTCTGGCCTTCCTCCTCCTCCACCGGCAACAAGAGCGGCAAGAGCAAGGCCCCGCCTGCACCGTCTCCCTTGTCCCCTGCGCCACCGCCGTCGCCGTCCGTGGCCACGCTCGCGGACCACCTCGTCAGAGATGACGCGCCACGGGCTCTCTCCCGGCAGCGCAGTTGCACCGAGCTGCCGCGCTTCGCCGACGCGCGACGCGGAGGCCAGGAAGATCGGGAAGCCGTCGGGGACGAAGGGCGGCGCCGGCCACGCGTTCGGCCGCTCCATGCGCTTCCTCCCGTCCACAAGGCCCGCGGGCGTGACGCTCACGCCGGGCCGCGTCGCGCCGTCGGACCTCCGCAGGCTTGCCAACGCCGCGTCCCTCGATGCCGCCGCCGACGTCGCCAGCTCCGGCTCGGAGTGCAGCGACGCCTCCAGGCTCCGCCACCACCACGCCGAGGACGACGGCCTCCAAGCCGCACTCTCCGTTGCTCCCGCGCACGGGCTCCGTCCGCCTGCTCGGGTCGAGCAATACGCAGTGGGCGCTCTCGCCAGGGCGGCGCAGCGGCTCGCCGCCGCTCAAGGCGATGACGATGCTGCCCACGGTGCCGGAGAGCAAAGGCAAGAAGAGCCTGATCAGCCTCGGTGGGGCCACATCTTCCACCGGCGGAAGCACGCGGCCGAGGACGCGTCCATCGCCGCTGTCACGGCCACCTTGCTGTCCTCGCCGGTGCCGTCGCGCAGCAGCGGAGGCGGCGGGGAGCCAGCCACCACATGAGGACGGCGCATTGCCGGCTCCTGCGGTGGCGCTTCACCACCGCTAAGGCGGACGCCGTCCGCGAGAGGAAGATGCCAGCGCCGAGCTGGACTTGATGGGTACATGGGCAAGGGTGTCGGAGATGAGAGGGAAGGTGGCCAGGAAGCGAGTGCAGCTTGAGAAGGAGAAGCAGAAGATTAAACTAAACACCGTGCTGTCTTTCCAGGTTCAGTTACTTACAATTTTAAGTTTGCAATTTTGTATATAGAATTTAAAAAGACTCTGCCTTGGTATTTTTGTTTCTGATGAGATGGTGGATAAACACAAACCTGCAGATGAAAGATTTGGAGAGCTGGGGCAGCTGCAAACCGGACATGACTCCGCCCTGGCCTCAACAGTGGACTGCACCTCGGGCAGCCGTTTGCAGGCTTCCTCTCACCAATGGTGCCAAGGTATTCAGATGCATTTCAGCAATGAATTTCTTTTTGTCTTCAATATATACATATATATGTGGTGGTGAATATTTGCCTCAAGTGTATAAGGAATATGCTTGCTTGCCCAAAAATAATTTCAACAACATAAAACATGCAATTCGGACACAGGTATCCCGTAGCGCCATTGGCCACCATTCTGCACCAAGCTCTCGAGCTCACGTTGACAGCCAAGGCAATGACGAGATCATTCAATCCGATGGTAATGACAGACTAAATACTCCTATGTGAAAAACAAGCTCATAATTTCACTTGTGCTGACTTGTATGGATTGTTCTCTGATCAGTGGAGCTTTATCTTTCTCTATAGGCTCCAGAAACAGCGTTACTGATCTCGAAGCTGGTGCGTGTGGCAAGAGAAGAGCAGGCTATGTTGCAGGAGTGTGTCGAGCTGCTTAGGCTGGTCTCTCTGCACTGCAGGTATAATAGCATCGATATTTTCTTTCATTGATCAAATGCCTTGCGCTTATTATGGTAGCTCCGACTCCTACGAAGTGTCACTGTTTTGATCACAACCTGCAGGTGGAGGAGCAGAGCTAGCGCAGCCATCTAGTCCAGCCGGCATCGCTTAGTGCTGTGATCGTGAAATAGTGGAGGCGAGCGCTTGTACACAGGCATTTAGCAACAGACTGCTCCAGTAAAACTAGCTAGAATAGAATCATTATACATTTAGCAGTTTAGGACTTTAGGTAGAAGGGTAAGATCAAATTAGAAACAAAAGGATGTGTCATGTGAGCACATTGGTGCTGAATGAGAATGATCTTGAACTCTTAAAATCGTCCTAAATTCTACTATGCTTACAAGCTTATGGTATGACATAGTAAATAATCTTAACCATCAACAATTCAACATCTATCAAGATATCTGTAGGTAGAAAAAAGCTACTCAGGTCTTGAGAGATCACATCTTTGACATGGTATTGAAAGATCACTTCTTGACATGGAAATCTGACTTGAGATTGACTGGAATCAACATTCTCCACATCAAAAGTATCTTTCAAACATGGTCGATGCATATGATTTGACATTGTTTACTGCAGCATGCATATTCAGTGTTACAACTGTGAAATACATAAAAGCGAAGATGTTGCAGCAAAACCAGTGTAGATCTCCCATCTCCATAGGCAACCTTGACTAAAGGATAACACAACCAAGTTCAACGTGATACTGTATGTGATGCTCTGATTACAATGTACATATGCATCTGGATTAACGAGCAGAGAAGTAAACGAGTTCTAGGTAACATAACTAATGTACTTTTAACAACTCTACTTCCTCTTAAAGAAATATGTACCGTGGTACGGTCAAGGAAAAAAAAAAAGGTAGCATAGCTAAAAAAAGCTATTGCATTCTGAGAATTATATGTCAAGCACATAGACGGATTTCTAGTGGAGATTCAAAGCTAGAAGATAACAAAATCATCCGTTGCGAATTGGTAGAGTTGCCCAGACGCAGTCACCTAACAAAAGCACTCTCTTGACACTTAGAAGTTAGGATTCACCAACTACTGAAAGTGGGAAACATCAACTTGCATTTTTCATAGCCGCTGACAACAGAAGTCGACCCAAAAAATCATCAACTGCGTAGTTGCTATGAACGAAACCAGACAGTATGGAATTGTTGCCGAGCATGGCAACTCCACCATAATCAATTAACAGAGGGGCAGCTTCTGCTCAGATGCTTAAAGCCGTCGCTGGCCACGCCTGCCCTCAAATTTGCAGGAGAGCTGAGAAAAATGGAAGCACACCTTCTTGAGTCCATGGCAGTGGTGTTGCTCGGCTAGCGCCAGGATGGTTGCCACATTGCCTGCATTGATGTACTCACACAACTTCTTTTTTCACATAACAGTTTCAGCCTCTCCAAGTTGTATTTGTCCGCAGCGACCAGTAGGTGCAGAGACAAAACGTCTTCATCGTCGTCTTCCACTTGTTGCATCGTCTTTGTCTTTGGGAATAATAAGTCTGTGTAAACGAAGTAGAGCAAAGCCTTAACACCCGAGGTTCCATGTCCTCTATGTGCACCACACTGCCTCGGTGTCGCTCTTTCATTGCACCAAAGAGCTCTGCACTGAAGACAGGCGAACGGGCTGCGAGCACGCACCGGTGTGCAGCGAACGTCTCACCGGCGACCTCGAACACCACATCGGCGCCCTTCTCGGTCAGCAGAAGACCGCCAAGATGCTGGTGCAGGTCAGATGGGGCACGGAGATACTTTCGGCCGGAGTGGTGGCTTCCGGCACCTCCGCCGTCCAGAATTCGGTGGTGACGACCACATCGCACCAGAATGGCAAAAGAATCGTCCCGGAGATGCTTCGACACTCAAAATCTTCCCCTTTGGTGAACTCAGAGCGTCCCCATCCACTCTGGTCATCGAAGATATGTACTCCTCCCAGTGCCAACGGCTGCTCCGCCACGTCGCCGACGAAACGGAACTTACTGCGCCTCCGCTGCCTTTGGCGACATTGTCGTAGAGATGAAGATAAAGCGAGATGTAATCTTTGGCCTCCGACTTGTTGCCGTTGGGGTAGTAGCGAATGTACCAGCGCTGATGGCCGCCCATGGTCAACGGGATGGACGCGATGTACTTTCCTGTGGGTTTCGCAATGGTGCGGAGTAGCCATCGATCTTGAGGTGATGTGGTACCCACTCGCGGTGTTGGCGACGATGGTGGATGCAGACCGCGACGGCTCGCCGCCTCCAGCCATCGAGTACATGGCAAACCTGATGATCTCTATCTCCCTCTCTGACCCCCGCTCCCTTCTCCGCCACAAGTCCTATCGAGTTCTCTCTTCGCCGCGGCCCACGCACTGATTTCAGCTTAGACACCACCGCCACTGCATCCGTAGGGAGTAGGGTTTGGCACGAACCGGCGGCGCGGAAAGGGGAAGACAAAATGGCGAAGGAGTCGATGGGTCGTCGCCGGCTTGAGTGCTTCCTAGCGATGCTGTTGCCTGTTGGGCTCTCTTTTTTTAGGCCGATTTATATAGTTCTTTCAAAAAGAAAAAGTCTAAATTACCTCCCAACTTTCGCGATAGTACGTTTTTCCTCCCCAAACTCTAAAATCGGGCAAAACACCTCACTCAACTTTTAAAACCGTTCATCTTACCTCCATGGCCCTGTTATAAGCAGTTTTGAAGGTTTATTTTTCTTTTTATTTTTTTATCTGAATCTTTTTTATAGTAAATCCACAGAAAAATCATAAAATGAAGAAAAAAATCAATTTTATTGGACTACACATGATAATCTACACAGTGAACATATAATATGATATGCTTTACAACATTTTTGATGTGGCTTTAGATCTCATGCTTTATGATAGTAAATACAGATACGCATTTTCTATTATCTAATTATGGTGAAATTTTTATGGTGGACTAATTGTATGTACTTAAATTGTAGTAAAATTTTCATACTCATTGAATCATGTATAACTTAGTTATAGATTTTGTTTAGGTTTATGTTTGTTAAATATAAATAAATCTATAACTAACCTATACATGATCGAATGAGTATAAAATTTTACTACAGTTGAAGCATACAATAATTAGCCCATCATAAAAATTTCATCACAATTGGACCATGAAACTACACTTATGAATTATTCCAATTAATTAAATAAAAACATAGATC